TCAGTGCTGAGGGAGCGCCGCGCTGTCGGAGGGTCAGTGCTGAGGGAACCCCACGTTGTCAGAGGGTCAGTGCTGAGGGAACCCCACGTTGTCAGAGGGTCGGTGCTGAGGGAGCGCCGTGCTGTGGAGTGTCGGTGCTGAGGGAGCGCCATGCTGTCGGAGGGTCAGTGCTGAGGGAGCAGGGTCAGTGCTGAGGGAGCACCGCGCTGTCAGAGGGTTGTGAAACAGAAGCACTGCCTATATCTCTGGTAGATGTAAAAGATCCCGCGGAATCTGTTTTCTGTTGGTGTGGCGAATATTGAATTCCACAGTCAGTATAAAGAAATTGGTTTACTTTGTCATTATCATGTTGTTTGTGCATCAGTTTGTTTCTGTGTTTGCCATGTTCCAGCAGATAGTAAACTTTGCCAGAACCTTATTGAAACTTTACTTGAATTGCATTTTTTAAATCAGTCTGACTGATGTCCCCCTCCACCTCTCTCTCTCTCTCTCACTCTATATAGGTTCCCACATGCCATGACATGCATGTGCTGCAGTTATGAGGCTGCCAAGCTCCGGGCATTCCGGCTGTGATTACTCGCCACAGCCACACCTATTCCGGAGTCCAGCATGAATGAAGTGCAGAACTGGGAGCGTGGAAAGGAATGAGCAATGACTCAGAGCTTGCTGCAAGGGAAGAGATTCTATTGTCGGGAATGGGCCTTGCACAAGTTGCAGCGCAGCCTGGACTGCAGTGTGGGCAGCCGGAGCACCGGGGTCCTGGTGACTGGGGGCCCAGGCAGTGGTAAGACCGCCCTGTGCACTGAGGTGCTGTGGCCAGTATCTGAGCATGGCCAGAAGTTCGACCTATCGGTCAGGACTGTGGGCCATCACTTCTGCCAGGCTCAGGATGTCCAGACGTTGTCGGTCAGTGGCTTTGTCCTGAGTCTGGTGGAGCAGATTGAGAGAAGCTCTTCAATACCCAGTTACAGCGAGAGACTGCGGGAGGTTTCATTGCAGGCATTACTGGAACCCAGTGAGTGTGCGAAAAACCCTGATGAAACCTTCAAAAGGTAACACCAATAGAAATCCTTGTGAATATTGATTTCGTTGTAGTTGCTAAGAGTCAGAATTAACATGAAAATCAAAGCCAGGCCATTCAGAGTGATGTCAGAAGGCATTTACTCTGACATTCCTTGTCACCTGGAATTGTCTCTCTTGAAAAGAAGCTGACATGAATTCAGAGCAGCGGTAGGCCATTCTGCCCCTCCAGGTGCTCTGTAATTCAACGAAATTCTGCCTGATCTGATTGAGTTTAACTGCACAATTCTGCCAACACCCAATATCCACTGAGTCCCCACTGAATCAGCACATTAGTGTGAGGTTCCAAAGGGAGAGATTTTTGTTGACTGAAATCATTCAGGACTTTGGAGCTAGAGGGTAAAGGAGCAGAATTGGGCCATTTAGCCCATTGAGTTTGCTCCACTATTTGGTTGTGGCTGATATATTTCTCAATCCCATTCTCCAACCTTTACCCTCTAACCCTTGATCCCATTACCAAGCAAGAACCTACCTATCTCTGCCTTAAATATACTCAATGACTTGGCCTCCACAGTTCTCACCAAGAGCAAGTTCCACAGATTCAATACCCTCTGGCTAAAGAAATTCCTCTTCGTCTCAGTTAAAGAGACATCTCTTCACTCTGAGGCTGTGGCCTCAGGAGATACAGATCAACCATAATCTAATTTAAACTGAATGGGAATGCAGATGAAAGAGGCTGAATGGTTCCTTCCTAATTAAATTCCAGCCAGATATGCCTCCATTTGCTCATGTGTTGGAGTGTAGCTGAGGCTGGGATCAAGACAAGGACAGAGATTGCTGGAGAACTCAGCGAGTCTGGCAGCATCTGTGGAGGCAGACAGAGACAGATTTAATGTTTCAAATCAAGTACGACTCTTCTTCAGAACACAGGAGTCATACCAGACTTGAAACATTAACTCTTTCTCTTTTCACAAATGCTACCAGACCTGAGTTTCTCTAACACTTTGTTTTTATTTCCGACTTCCAGCTTCTGCGGTAGTTTACTTTTATGTCGCTGCTGGTATCAAGCCAGGGACAGACATCAAATTGAAGGTTATCCGGATACTGCTTCAGAAACACACCTTCACAGTTCCAAACAGATTAACCCTGTCAAAGAGTGAACTAGATAGTTCACAACATAGATGTCAATTGTAACCTCGAGATGAGGTTCTGACCTCCTGTTTGTAAGGCCACATTTGACTGGGTGTGGCATCAAGAAGCCTAAGCCTGGAATCAATGGGTATCAGAGAACCCTCATACCTGGCACATAGGAAGATGGTTGTGGTTGTTGGAGGTCAATCATCTCTGCAGGAGTTCCTCAGGGTAGTGCCCTAGGCCCAACCTTCAGCTGCTTCATCAATGACCTTCCCTCCATCATAAGGTCAGAAGTGGGGATGTTTGCTGATTGCACAATGTTCAGCACCATTCATGACTCCTCAGATACTGAAGCAGTCCATGTTCACATGCAACAAGATCTGGACAATATCCAGGTTTATGTTGACAAGTGGCAAGTGACAGTCCCACCAAGACAGAAACAAACTATTACCCCTTGATATTCAATGGTGTTACCATCACTGAATCCCCCACTATCAACCTCCTGGGGGTTACCATTGATCAGAATCTGAACTGGACTCACCACATTAACACGGTGGCTACAAGAGCAGGCCAGAAGCTGGGAATACTGCGGCAAGTAACTCACCTCCTGACTCCCCAAAGCCTGTCCACCATCTACAAGGCACAAGTCAGGAATGTGATGGAATACTCCCCACTTGCCTGGATGGGTGCAGCCCCAACAACACTCAAGAAGCTTGACACCATTTGAGACAAAGCAGCAGCTTGACTGACACCACATCCACAAACATCCACTCCCTCCACCACCGACGCTCAGTAGCAGCAGTGTGTAATATCTACAAGATGCACTGCAGAAACTCACCGAAGATCCTCAGACAGCACCTTCCAAACCCATGACCATTTCTATCTAGAAGGACAAGGGCAGTGGACCTACTGCTTCCACCTCCATAATTTCACCTGACTGACCTCACTTAGCTCATCTACTGTGGAAGCCCTCATCCTGTATTTACCAGCAAATTCCAACACACCCGCTTCCCCCCATGCCTACTCTCCTATCCTCCACAAACAACCATTCATCCTAAACACTGCTGGCCTTGTCTGAACTCACACCTTGTCCCATTCCTCTCTCCTTCCTGGGCTTTTATTGGCTGCTGGTTCAGCATAGACCAGTCAGTCTGGGGAGCTCGGGGAGGGGGTGTGGTGCTCCCAGTCAGTCTGGGGGGATCCGGGATGGAGAGGGGTCAGTTGTCCTGGTCAGTCTGGGGGAATTGGGGATGGGGAGGGGTGAGTGGTCCTGGTCAGTCTGGGGGAATTGGGGATGGGGAGGGGTGAGTGGTCCTGGTCAGTCTGGGGGAATTGGGGATGGGGAGGGGTGAGTGGTCCTGGTCAGTCTGGGGG